TGTTGACTCAAAAAGAGCTGAACCTGAGACAGAGAAGATATATAGAGTTTTTAAAGGATTATGATGTGATCATTGACTATCATCCATGAAAGACTAATGTGGTGGCTGATGCACTTAACCGAAAGACTTTTACAGCCTTGATAGCTTTGGATGCACGTTTATATTTAAAGGAAGTCGATGCATTGATTGTCAAGTTAAAGTTAAAGCTGGAGCTTTTAGATCGGATAATAGAATTAAAAAGGAAAGACGAAAAGTGCTTGGTAAGAATTACACAAGTAGAAAATGGTGAGATTAAGGGCTTTGAGGTTTGGTCTGGCGGATATTTGTAGTATCGTGGGAGACTTTGTATTCCCGACTATGAAGAACTAAAGAAAGATATTCTTGTTTAGGTAGAAACAAGATGTATCAAGATATAAATAGTCGATATAGGTGGTCTGACATGAAAAATAGTTATAACAAAAATTGTGGTATAGTGCATGATATGCCAATAGGTGAAAGTTGAACATCAAGTGCCTTCTGGATTGTTACAATCGATATCCATTCCTGAATGAAAGTGAGAACGAGTCATTATGGACTTTTTTACAGGGCTACCTTTGGCACTCGGCAAGAAAGACTTAATTTGGGTGGTTGATGATAGATTAACTAAGACAGCTCACTTCATTCCAGTACAATAGATTATTCGATGGATAATATGATAAGTTGTACATAAAAGAGATAGTTTGGCTGCCTGGAATGCATGTATCGATAGTATCTGACAAAGATCCAAGGTTACATCAAGATTCTGGAATTCCTTGCACGAGGCATTGGGTACTCGATTGAATTTCAATACGGCTTATTACTCACGGATGCATAGTGAGTCGGAGCAGACCATTCAAATATTTGAGGATATACTAAAAGTGTGTGTGGTCAAATTCAAGGTATCATTAGAAAAGTATTTTCCTTTAGAAAACTTTTCTTATAAAACAACTATAATTCGAGTATTAAGATGGCTCCGTATAAAGCACTTTATGGGCGAAAGTATCAAACACCATTAAATTGATTCGAACTAAAAGATCAATATCTAGTTAACCTTGATTTGATGAAAAAATGAAATTTAAAGTGGGGATCATTCAAGATAATCTAAAGATAACTTTTGATCGAAAAAAGTCTTATGCAAACCTAAAGAGAAAAGAGATTGAATATCAAGTGGGTGATAAGGTATTTCTCAAGGTATCACCTTGGTAGAAAGTATTGTGGTTTGGACGCAAAGGAAAGTTGAGTCCAAGATTTATTAGAACTTATGAGATTTTGAAAAGAGTTGGACCAGTGGCTTAACAGTTAGCATTGCCTCCAGAAATGGACAAGATCATAATGTTTTTCATGTGTCGATGCTCAAGAAGTATCGATAAAATATGTCGCATATTATCACCCCGAAAGAAATAAAGATTCGATCATATTTGACCTATGAAGAGGAACCAATTGAGATTTTGGCTTGAGAAGTTAAAGAACTAAAGAACAAGACGATTCCTTTGGTCAAAGTTCTTTGGTGGAATCATAAAGTCGAGTAAGAGACCGGGAAAAGAGAAGAGGACATGAAACGATAGTATATGCACCTCTTCACATCAGGTACGTATTAAAATTCAAGAATGAATTTTTTCTTAAAGGGGGAGAGTTGTAATACCCAAAATTTTGGTTAGTGACCAAAATGTAATTTTGAAAGTTTAGTGGCCAAAGTATAAAATTGGGAGAAGTTTAGGGACCTAAGTGGTAATTTTCCCAAAAATATTTTTTCATAAATAGATAGTTTACTTTTGAGAGTGGGTTTTATTGAAATCAGATTCTTGATCCATAATTTACGTTGAAAACTAAAAAGGGTTAAAGTCCGGTAAGAAATCGATAAATCGAATCGAATTGAAATTTCGAGAAAAAATAAAGGATGGTAAATAAGGCTTAAAAATATTATTTCCATATGTTAAAATGATGGAAAATAATATGGATCATTGGATTTGAATATTTATTTCTATGTTTAATTTGGACCTTTAGATCAAAGTGGCAAGATTTTAATTTTTGGAAAGTTGCTTGGTAAAATTGTAAATGGGTAAAATATTTTGTTCATTTTTGACTTTGGAAATATGATAAGGTTATATGGCTTGGTATTATTATAAATATCAAGTTTCATTAATGGAAAAATGGGCATTTCTCATTAAATGAATATTTTATTCATTTAATTTTCATGAAACTTATGCCATTTTTCGGCTCCATTTCATGCTCCCCATGAACTAGGTAAGATAAATTTTATTTTTCATTTTCGAGCAATTTCATTTGGATTTTGGATCATGCCATGAAATAGAAAATTGTTCTATTCGAAAAACGTTGCCGTTTGGTGCCTTTATTGCTTTTTAATTTGGCATGTGTTCAAAGATACCAAATTCTAGGGTTTATGTTTATATTAGAGTTTATGGAATTGATGAAGGATTTTGATGTTTTTGAGGTTGTAGAATCAATTCCAAGCATGGTTTATGATTAAAATCAATTATACATGCCTATATACGCTATGGGTAATTTCAGCCTAACCCTAATCTTGGATGTAGTTTAAGTTATGATGAAATTTTATTAGGGATTTGACTGTATAGATTGTATAAGGTTGAATCGAAGTTGATTTCATGCTTGAATCGAATCAAAATCGAGTAAAATCATGAAAACCCTAGTCTTGGGTACATAAACAATTCGACCATGAGGAAAATGATGGGGAAAATTTTTGAAAAATTTCATGTGGCTTAGAAATGATATTAGAAAGGTTTTACAAGCCTTAGAAAAATATTTGGGGCAATTTGTAATTCTGTGAAAATTGGGGGACCAAATTGGTAATTATAAAAAAGGTATGGGTTGTATAATTGTTCAGATAATTATTGTATTATGCCTTAAATTTCTATATGGGGACTGAAATTGAAGTTAGAATGTGAAATTTAGCCATTTTGGAAAGTTAACAAAGTTTGAGTGCTAAATGGTAAACATTGAGAAAGTTAGTGGATTAAATGGAAAATATGGCATTGTTGATATTTGGGCTGAAAGTTTAATGCTGGAAATTATTGGGCTTATTTGGGCCTTGAATTGAAAAATTAATGACAATAGCTCAATATAAAAAAAGGAAAAATTAAGATGAATTTTTATAAGAATTCGAAATAATAGTACTTTTGGAGTATTATTATTATGAAATGTTAATAAGAATACTAACATGTATTTTATATTTATATATGTTTTGTATAGATGCTCTTGTAGATCGTGATCAAACTCATAATACGAGCAAAACGAAAGGAAAGGAAAAAGTTCAAGAATAATCGGATTTCGATAGTAAGACATAATAGTGAGGCATATCAGGTGAGTGCATTTATTATGTACTTATATGATATAAAGACGACTAGTGATGAGTCAACCTCATATATTTTTATAAAAGCATGTTTTATCGTATTTTGAAATATTTTTATAAAGTTTATAAAAATGGGTTTTACGAATAAATTTCAGAGTATGAACTGCCCTAAAATAGATTGATGAACTTTTATATTGTTTTAACAACTATTGATGTTCCAGAATAAATGTTTAATTTGCAAATTTGATTTAAAGGCTTATTATATGTGCATTGAGAGTCATAGGTGCATTTTGACATACATAGAGAGCGATGGTTATCGATCGATTTTGTTTAATGCATATGTTGCATTTTCGTATCAATACCTTTGTGTACTTTCGGCACTATGTGTGGCTATCGATCAATTTTGTTTAATGCATACGTTGCATTTTCGTATCAGTACCTTTGTGTACTTTCAGCACTATGTTTGCATGCATGGTATTCATAATGAGTTTGTGAGTTACTTTGAACATATTAGTGTAGTGTCGTTGTTACTACAGTACATATACTTTCCTTTAGCACTTATGTGCAACTCATGTATCTTGCATTCTTATTTGACATACATTGGGCTATGAATAAATACTTTTCAATATATGGATTGATAGGTATGCTGGGCATACTAAATATTGTTCCGCATGTTATTTGACAGAAACTTGACTTATCAAGTCAGTTTTTATGTGTTTATGTATTTTATATGATAAATCGTATTTTGATCTTGTAATGTTTTACTCGTGTTTTTAAAATGCCCTTAGAATGTGACTGTATTTTGGTGTACATATGGAGGACATTCATGTGATTTAAATAACTACATTGTCATTTTTACAACATTCTATTGGATCATGATTTTGATATTAAAGTTACTGCTCAATTTGATTTCTATTGGATAATATATGAGTATGAGTCTAGAGTATGGAGGTTCAGCTCTGATCAAGTTAGTAAATTCTTACGAACCTAAGGAGACCCTTGGGTAGGCCCGTAAGTACTCCCTTAGCGTGGCTTCTTTGTTGTGTGCTTAGGGTATGTCCTTAGGAATGCAATTCTAGAGAAATTGCATATTGGTGTTCGGTTGGAGGGTATTACTGTGGTTTTAAAATATGTTTTAAACTACTAATGTTTTTAAAGGATTTGTACACTTCTCTGTTTTGTTGGAATATGCTAAATTCCCCCAATTTAATCGTCTGAATATGTCTCTCTAAATTTTTCCTTCTGACCGTAAATTTTTGCCTGTCACTGAAGACTTAGCTAATAGAATCTGAAATCACCGATAAAATCTAATGATGTATGTCCCACTAACGAAAGCTATGCTTTACCATATACCTTATGAACTATTGCATTCATGTGGTACTTTTCTATTACTAAGCTTTCCAAAGTTCACTCTGTTACTTACCATTTCAAGTTAAGAGTTTTATTTTGTGCTTGTATAGACATCGTAAATGAGTCCCACTGGCATTGCTTGTAGAGTACGATGCATGTAATTAAAGAGCATGAAAGTTGTATTATTTTTTTATATTCGAGTCTAAAATTTGTTATACTACTGAATATTGGTGATTTTATTTTAATATATATAAATGATTTTTTGAAATTGTATTTTTTCTATAAATTATTTTACGATTTTAAATGGATTAACAAAAATTTTAAATTTTCCTGAATTTTTAGTGTAGATCACTCCGATGACTCTACCTCGGATGGGATCATATCACCCGCATTGAGAGTGTTACATTACATATTCAACTGCCAAAAACGGCTAAAAGGCAGTTTCGCATGATTTAGATTTTGGTGCTGCCATATCTAAACCAGTAACTGTTGCTGCAATTGGATGGTTTGCTGGTGGTTACCAAAAAGGTATCCCCAAGCTCTCACTCCTGCGCTCACGCTGCTCCTTCAACCTCTGTGCAAGGAGCTTCTGGTACTCAGCAGCATCTGCCTTGGCCTTTGCAACTCTCTTCTTCTTCTCTGCAATTCTGGCACGCTTCCTCTGCAAGGTCAAAGGTGTCACCAACCTCTGAATTTTGGGGGCCTTGCTGGCTTTCTTACCTGCATTTCAAGAAAGTGATTGTTATTTCCAATTCACGGGCAGCTTCCGTCAAAACGATATTTTATAAATGAAAAACTCCTCTGGGAAACTTATTCTCAAAGGATCACTTTGTACTCACCAGATTTCGTTGTAAAGGTTCGGCGGTATGTATTAACATACTTCCGAACATCATCCTCCTTGGAGAGGTTGAACAACTTCCTGATTTTTGAGGCTCTCTTCGGACCCCTCATTCTTGGCTTCTCAGTGTCAGTCAATCCAGGAAGATCATTTTCACCCTTCTTAACAATAATCAAGTTCAGAACTGAAAGGTCCTGACTAACAATGCATCCCCGAACGGACTTCCTCCTACGCTCTCCGTTCCTTCTACTATACCCCATGGAAGCAGGGGTACCTGTTCAAAGGAAATTAGAAAAACAAATTAAATGAACAAAAAATCCATACAAGAAAGATTTCTACCAATAAACAAAAAGGAAATAAGTTTTGGAGTCCACAGAACTCTTTGGAGCAAAAGGCGAACACGGCCAGGAGAGAGAACACCCTGCTTCATTGGAAAACCTTGCTTGTCACAGCCTCCCATGATCTTGAATACATAGCCCTTAAACTCCTGTTAAATGGTATTTTAAGGAGCAAGCAAGTCACAGTTTTGAAGTCTACACACACCAGCAGAAATTTGAGGCAGATAAGGAAAATTTTAGAAGTAACTTTGAACATACCTCACCCAGGGCATCACCGCTGACTTCCTGTGAGATCCTCTTGTCAAAAAAGGCTCGACTGAAAATTCAGATGTCAAGATGAGTTCTCTTAATAAACAGTTACAACTTGCGTTGCAGCAAGAAAATAAATTTACACCAACTATCATCACAATCGCAGCTTGCAAGTTGAGCTATCATCTTATAGGGCCTCGTTGCCTATGTTCTTTTACCCTCGTCAAATACAGGTTCATTACATCCAACAAGTTAATCCACCATAATACTATATTATAGGTCAGCACTTCATATCTAGATGGGGGAAAAGTGATTTAAGAACCAAATATATACGGTTATGTTTCAAGATGTATGATTCAGATTCAGTAGCTGATTGTTTTGGCTAGATTTTGAATTTCACAAACCACATCAAAGACTAAACAAAAATATAAAACAAAGTCAACATTGTTTGAGTTTGAAAAAAGTCTAAATCTACATCTCAAAAAGAGACAATCATTAAAATATTAGATTTCTTTTTTCGTATATGCATAAAATCATATCTTTGAATAACAAAAAACCCAAATTTCATTAGCAAATTATATACATTTTCAATTTGCTTAAAAACTTATTTATTTTTCACATTATGTATATACTCTGCAAGATCCAATACTACCTAAATAACATAAATACAAAAAAAAAAAAAACTAACATAGATTGAAGATGTAAATGGGAAAAAGTCAGATTTCCCTCATATGGCTATTTTCATGGTCAAGATAACAAGCATTGAATTTAATACTAACATTGAAATTGAATCAATTAAGTAAACTTAAGCTCAACAATTTGTATACAAAAGGACGGAGAGAGAAATAAAGGAAAATACAGTTTCTGGTCATCATCAATTTCCAGCTTTTTCTGGCAACCAGTAGTGGGATTCTCAATGTTGAACTGATGCAAACAACAACAACAACAACACAAAAATTAAACAGTAATGAAAAGAATAAACAAAACCCAAAAAGGATTGATATTTATCTATTCTTATGAAAAGAGAAGAAACCTTCATTTTGGTTTGATGGGTCTTCCTGGTTACAGCTCTGAGGAAGAAATGCCTCCACTCTTCTCTTGCTAGCTGCCTTCTAAACTTAGGGTTCCCAGTGGATGTCTATATAGAGAGAGGGGATAATACAGTGTTGTTAAGGAAGACCATTACTTTTATCTGAGATGAATTAGATTCATACACGTGGAATAATTATGGGTCTAGATTTATAGTTTGGGTTTTGTTAAATGGATTTGTTTGGACCCAAACAATTACTCTTACTCAAGGTTATTTATACAGATCCAAAACAATATTAAAAATATAAACTAAAGGTTTAAATATGGATTTAACCTCTGAACGTCTTCATTGTTTCAATATTGCACATCAAATTTGTTCTCTTGATTTAATACTCATGTTTTTCAATTAATCAGTTTTTTTATGTTTGTATTTCAACATAAAAGTAAATAGTTAAGTAATTGTTTATTGCTAGTAGGAAGTTTTTATTAAAAATACTCCTAATCTAGTAATTTAATAAGTTAATTACATCATACATCCTCAAATTATAAATCTCATTCTATTTTACTTCAATTTTTAAATATTCTAATTTCATCCTTAAACTATGACTATTATTCTAAATTAATCTTCAATTTTTTTAACATCTCAGTTTCATCCCCAAACTATGACCTTTGTTTTAAATTGATCTCCAAAATTTTTGAATATTTTAATTTCATCTCAAACTATATATACATACTATAGGCCAATTTATATCTTATATGTTTAAAAATAATTAAAATTTGGGTTAAACTTTTGTTGAAATTAAGATAAATTATACGAGTGACTACTAAACTATGGTAAAAAATTACTTTAACCACCTATGTTTCATTTTGATTAAATATACCACTCAACTATTTAAATTATTCTAATAATTATACATTTAATCTTTGTAATCAACGTTTTTTTTCTAATATATTACTATTTTAAGGGTAAAACATAGTAATGGTCACTGAACTTTTATGATGATTGCATTTAGATCCCCAAACTTTTAAAACTTACAATACAGTCCTCAAACATTTAGTCCGTTTGCAATATATTCTCTTACGTAACTAGCCGTTTGACGTCGTTACACTGCTATTAGAAGAAGATGACATGGCAGTCCTCCAACATTTAGTTCGTTTGCAATATGGTCACTAAACTTTTCAAGCACTTGCATTTAGGTCCCCTAACTTTTAAAACTTGCAACACAACCCTCAATTTTATTCTAAACCCCAAATACCAAAATAATTCAATTATATTTTAAACCTCAAATTCTAAAATAATTTAATTCAGGGTTTAGAATATAATTAAAGTATTTTGGAATTTAGGGTTTAGAATATAATTGAAGTGTTTTGGAATTTTGAACATGAATTTGCTATTTGACAGTGTTTACTTCAATATAAATTTGAGGTTTGTTGCATACACATCCAACGGGTCCCGCACTTTGAACATGAAAAGTGCACCTATCACGTTTATTGCATAAACTGTTGAAGTAAAAGTAACAAGGTCAATTTGTCTTGTTCGCAACTGCCACACTTTGGTATGACAATCTGGTAGGTTTGGATGGAACTTGAGCATGCACATCCAACAGCTGCGAAAATAGTAAAGAGTTTTAGTTCATAGGACTACAACATACAACCAAGCAATAACTAAAATAAACCAAGAATATCAATTAATAACTCATTCAAAAGGAGGACTTAATAAATAAAGGGAAAGAGGTTCGGTCATAGTCACTCCAAAAGCTAAGGCGTCAAATGGGTTATTTAATATAGATATTCAATGCCAAATACAACATTACAAGTTGCAAATGCATTAATGGCCTACCATTTTAACATATAATTGCTTCTAATGCTCAATGTTTAATGTTCATCAATAGCCAAACATGATGAGAATCTAAAGTAGATAGTGGAACTAAAATCATAGGACCCAATAATTCTTGTAAATTCATGTCATGCCAGCAATAAAAGACATTGTAAAACATAGATAACACTGCAACAAACATATATATGCCAGAAATAAAGGTGCAAATGTGCAATGATCGACCATCATATCAAGTAGCTGCTCCAAATATACTACCATGTCATGATGCCTTTCGAGTTACGTGCATACATAATTTTCTTCTAAAGTTATAATTCAATACAGATTCAACTGTAAAATTTCTAAAACATGTAAAAAATCAAGTTCGTTCACGATATATCAGTCTCATAATCAACATGAACTTATTAAAAAGAATACGAGCTCACAGGACACCGAAAACCACAGGTCGGATCAATACAATTCCCAACAAACTAGTACCAATAATCTCTTGGATTAAGCCTGCGATTTCACTATGTCGATACTTCCAACCAATTCTCTGATTTAAAGAAAAACCAAACAAGAAGATAAAAATTTTTAGCCTAGGACCCTCTTTCACTTCTACTTTGATTGACTGAATATCTTTCATAAGGAGTACTAAAAGCTTTGATTAAGAAGAAAGAAAATTAGATGGTTTTGGTTCAAAACTAACATTGAATATCCAGATCCTTGTAATACCCCAAAATTTAGATAATAGACAAAATAAAAATTTTGAAAGTTTGATGGTCAAAGTAGAAAATTGGGAAAAGTTTGAGAAATTAAGTGATAATTCCCTAAAAAGAATTTTATTCCATAAATAAATAGTTTCCTCTTGAGAGTGGGGTTTTATAGAAATCATATTTTTGGATTTGGAATTTTAGTAAAGAAAAATTAGAAAGTGTTAAAGCTGGTAAGGAATCAGTAATTCAGATCGAATTGAAATTTTACAAAAAAATTGAAGATGTTATAAAATGGTTGGAAATTTTATTTTAATATTTTAGATTAGGGAAATTTGGTTTGGAAATGTGCAATTTTTCATATTTAACCGAAAACAGTGGAATTTAGTGACTAAAACGTAATATTTGAAAAATTCAGGGGAAATTTTGTAAATCAAAGTCAAATTAATTCATATTTGACTTTGGAATATGATAAGGATGAGGTGTCTTGGTTTTATGGTAAATAAGAAGATTCATTAAGGGTGTTTTGGTCTTATCTCAATTAAATGAATATTTTATTCATTTATAGTGGAATTAAATGTAAACTAAGATGAAATGTACCTAACATTTCATTCCAACTTGCTCATCTTCTACTCCAAGCTGTCATGGGTTTCTCCAAAGGTGAGAGAAAATTTCAATTCAATTTTTAAGCAATTTCATTTGGATTTTGAGTATGTCGTAAAAGAGGAATTTCTATACGCGAAAAACGCTATCATTTGATACCAATATTGCATGTTCAAATATCCCAAATTCTACAATTTGTGTTTATATAAGGGATCATGAAATTGATGATGAATCTTGATATAATACAATCTTCGGCTAGAAATCAAATTGAATGACATAAAAACTTGATGTTTTAGCAAGTTGAACTAAATTTTTAACAACTACCAAAAAGCAAATAGAACATGGAATGTGTTGCAATTTGTAACTTACATCCCTTTATATTGACCTTACTCGTTTTAGATGTTTTCACGTCTAAATATGTGTTGGAAATGGGTACCTAGACAAAGTAGCGCAGAAAAAATGGAACATGGGAGCAATTAGTGTACCCTATGTTTTTCTAATTAAAAAAAAATCAAGAAGAGACTGTTTTCTTTTCTTCTAAGATATAAAAACAATGGGACCTTACTTATAATGCCTGGAAGCATAAATTGAAGGGATAAAAATTGATTTTGCTATGGAACATATCTTTACTGTATTTTGTTAAATTGGAATGCTTGGTTTTGTTCTCCCTTGCGCTTTTAGTAAATGGTGCATTTTTCCTTCAACAAGGGCAGCCCCCTCCTTGTTGCTCTGTTTGGGATGAATTGGCGGTCGACTTCAAGTTCACATCCACCATCTCTTCCTGTTTTGTTGAAGAAAGACTTTCCATCCCAGGTAAGGCCGCCGCTATTTTGCGGAATAGAGGCTGTAATTTTACATTCTTAATATAAATTACCAAAAAGATGTTTCTTCAAATTGCATTAAAGAGATATGTATGGAAGACTTGAAAAATACTTTGTCATAACCAACAGAAAATGTTGCTCGTTCACCTTGATGTTGAATCCTGCTTTTGCACTGGTTTCTATAAACATGATCTCAGATTCACGGGCCTTGTTATCTCCTTCCTCTATGGAAACCTGTCTGTTTAATGATCATCAGAAATTATAAATGAAAACAACATAAAGAGTTCACGTATGATATCGCTACGACTGCCTAAAAGATATTCCTTAGAAGTTTCAGACTGACCCAAATGATTTTATGAAATGTAGTTTGTGATAATCAGATTCTTACTGTAAAATTTTGAATAAACACAAGTAAAGAAGCTCTTCTGGTAGGCCTGTAAATGAATTGAACGTTCAGCGAACCGTGCGGCAGGAAGTTCGTTTATTTATTAAATAAACGAACATGAATAAAATTTTGCGTTCGTTTAATTAAATGAACGAACATGAACAAAGGGTTCGTTCGTTCATTTACGTTCGTGAACGTTCGATTATATGTTCGTTTATGTTCGTTCATTTATGTTCATTTATGTTCGAACAGAGGACAAGTTGAATATGTTACGAAGATTATTGAAGTTGTTTGGATTTCAAGAAGATTGTTTTGTTGAACAAATTAACTTTAAGACTTTATTATGTTCATATAGTTTATTTATGATTTATGTATGTTTTTGTCGTATTCGAATAAATTAACTCTAAAGTTGTAGGTTATATTAATGAATTTTAAGTTGTTATTCTTGTTGTTTACTTTTTTTTTACATTCGTTTGTTGTGTTCGAATAAGTTTTTTTTGTGTTTGTGTTTTTCGTTTATGTTCGTTTATTGTGTTCGTTTGCGTTCGTTCGTGTTCGTTTATTTATTAAATGAACGAATATGAACAAGCTATATTCCTTAATGAACGAACATGAACAAAAATAATTTTGTTCATTTATGTTCGTGTTCGTTTATGTTCGTTTATTTATTAAATGAACGAACATGAACATACCTCTGTTCGTGTGCATTCGGTTCGTTTACAGGCTTATCTTCTGGTTCTAGTAATATGAAAAATTACTCATCACTAACCTTTTGTCAACCAAATCAGTTTTGTTTCCAACAAGTACAATAATAACATCACTCCCTCGTTCTGTGCGTACCTCCTCCATCCACTTAAAAGTATTCAAATATGATTGCCTATCTGCAAGGATATAGTCAAGTGGGGGATGTGAGTAATTTGGGTTAAAATGTATGAGAATATAAATGATAATGACTGTAATAGTAGAGAGATGTCTACAAGCATTATCAAGAGTCAATTAACCAGAGCTTTCCATTAGTATCTCATTTTGATTAACTTGAAAAGATAAGGAATACTTGGGTTAACTTATTATACTCACTAGCTACATCATAGACGATTACTGCAACAGAAGAATCTCTGATGTAACTAGGAATTAGACTCCTAAATCTCTCTTGCCCTGCAGTATCCCTGTGAAATTACAAGATGAAATTAAAACGAAGACTACAAAATTGATTAACTGAGAGTATATGCATCATAAACTAAGAAGATATATGAATATCTAAAGTACCCGAACTGGAGTGTAAGTAATAAGTTTATGTTTGTCCTGATTATTCTACCACTAAGAAATATGGCCAAAACACGCTTAGCCTTTCTCATCAAGGGTCTTCCAAAGATGATATTGTAGGCAAAAGGTTGGTCTACCACTAAGAAATCAGTGTATGTTACTGCCTTGTGTCTTCCATCTCCCATCAATATAGGTAACATTATCAATCCTTTTATTTCAACTGGGTAGTTTAAAAACTTATACATTGTTCCATATGCTTTCAATGATTCTAATGGATATTTATATTTTGGAAAATTTCTCATTGCAACACTTCTATGACATTGCCACTGTCCACCGATATTCTTTTGAAGAGAAATATTTTATTCGAACAAAATCTATTAAAGTGTCATCCATCATCTTCCGTCGCTCTTTAGCCACATCCTTGTCTTGAAAATTGACTTTCCAATCCTCTTTAAGCCTAGGTCTCTGTAAAAAATCTGCAGCGGACCACATCTGCAGCCATCTGTAGCATAAGAGGTGGACCAAAAGTCTGCAGTCTACAAGAAGAAGACTGTTTGTTTTTTAACGTATGCAGACTACTAAAATAAACTGAAATATAAATAAACTGATTTTTTAAACTTAAAAGAGTTTTGCAATACTAAGATTTAAATAATTTTAGTTTTACAATACTGAAATTTAAATAATTCATACAACTACAATAATAATTTTTTAAAAAAAACAAACACCACCTTATCAATTCTATTATAAGTATCACATAATCACATGTATTATTAGTTTTATAGAATAAAATTTATAAATGATCATTAAATTATATGATTTTTTAAATATGCAATTATCTAATACTTTTAATTTTTTAAATATATATTCATAATTTATTTTTATAATTATATGATATTTTTAGAAAATATTTTTTAATTTATAAAATTATTTTATGATTATTTTTTATTTAATTGTGATTATATTTTAAAATTTTAAAAACATAATTTATAATTTTTTATATTTTAAAATCTTAATTATCAAACAATGAAATCATTTTTTATTAAGAAATGTGGTTTAAATACTTACATTTTGTATAAAAAGTGTAAATATAATTTAAAAATAACAAATCCAAAAAAATATTATATTTAAACTTAAATCAAAATAATTAAAATAAATATAAAAGTTTAATAATATATAAAATAATTTATAACATATAAAATTAAATATCTATAATATAATATTAAAAAAATAATATTTAATTTATTTAAAAAATTAATATTAAAATTAATATATATAATATAATATTAAAAATTAATATTTAATTTATTTAAAAAAATTAATATTAAAATTAAAATCAAATATAATATAAAATTAAATATAAAACCTCTTTGAAGAAGTTAGAAGACGTCTGCAGACATAAGGCCACGTATGCGCCGCGCAGACCATGCGCAGACGTTAGAAGAGCTTCTGTCTTCTAAAAATCAAACGGTCTGCGAAGCTGAATGTCTGTGCGTAGTCTGTGCGGTGCAGACATAAGAGCTTTGTAGACCTTACACAGTAAAAACAAAACCTAACTCACTGACATGACATTGTTAGGATGATAGGATCTAAGTTATTTTCAAAGGTAATAAGCGGTCAGTTCTTCTGCTTATATATGACATTACGTCCCCTCAGATGTCTCTCGTCGAGTGTTTATTTTTTAGCAATAGATATGTGCAGGTGTTTTTATCTAACTATTATTTCTATAACATCTTTAGGGGAGACAGAATAATAGCTAGTTTTTCTTTCCTCTTAACCTGGGAGCTTTCACCAACTTCCCTTACTAGACAAGAATTAACCACAAGTGTTACTAATGCTGTTGGGAAGTTTAGAAAAGTGTTTAGAGCGTTTCTTGAGGCTTGAATCCCTAAAAAATGAGCTGATTTCACTTAGGTTTCTAAAACCCATAACATATATTTGTTATCTATAATGAAAACTTGCATGAGAGGGCTTGAATTGAAGGTTGGAAAGAAGAGATTAAGTTTCTTATCTTAAGGTTGTTGGGTAAGGTCTGAAATCCTATAAATTTTGTACCTTTTCCTTGGAAAGTTAGGGAGATAGAAGAGTTTGAAATGGGAAAAAAGAAAAGATAAAAGTGTGAAGAAAATGAGATATAAGGAGGGTGTTAGGCGTGAGATCACCATGTTTATAATGAAATACAACCTTTACAATTATTTTTTGTATAATAGCTCTCTTAGTCCTTCGAGTTTCGGTCACCAATTAAAAACACTCATTTTAACTCATGTTAGGCTCAAACCAAGCCCAAATCCACTTAAACTTAGGTCATAGCTTCCTACAAGATAATGGGTTTGTTTATTCACTTTATCAGGTTAACCCGAAACAATTATTCTAGGATTCGGGGTGTTACATGACTCTTATACCACTTTAGATAGAGTCAATATCAACTTAAGGATTGCCTTTGGCCAAAAAGTGTTTAAAATACTATGACAACCCTCTAAATTTATAAAGGGAATTATAACACCTTAAATTTTGGATTAATAGTTTTGGATTGACCCAATAGGCTTATGCACCGAGTGGAGTTTCAATTAAAAAGCGTTTAGCCAAGTTTGAGTTCAATTTGATGTAAACTAGCCTCGTTAGGTTATAAAAAGGGGATTTTTACATTAGAGGCAAATGAGGACCAAATGTGTAATTATCCCATTGTTGAAAATGAGGTTGATATTAAGAGATTTGAAATAGGTTTGGGCGAGACATTTTGGGTGAAAAAGCTAAAGGCATGGTCCATTCTCTTCATCTTCTTTTTTCTCTATTTTTCTCCCCTTTTCTTTTATTCCTCAAGTTTATATATCAAAGGTTGAGGGTAGGAGCTCATTCTTTATCTCCATCAACTTCTAATCCACCCTTAGTCTTCCTACAATCATTTTTGTTAAGAAGATACTTGCGTTCCTTGTATGGCTAGAGAAAACGGTGGAGAAACAACCAAGTCTTGGAGAAGAGCGGTAGCTAGCTAAAGGAGCTTCATTTCGGGATTCTAGAGCCAAGGTAGTACATTTCTAATCCTTTGTGGAGTTATGGCTTTCCTAAATATGATGTTTTGTTGGGGATTTGGTTATTGAGCATATTTGGGAGTTTTGCTTGTGTAAACACCATTTTTTTATTATGTACAAAAAATATTATAATATTGAGTGGTTGAGGTTATTAATACCCCAACCAACCTTGTAAAATCAGAGACCCCCTTCCCTGAAAATAGGGAATAAAAATATATCTTCTTGACTTTGTGCTTGCTCTCCATTTTTGCTTTCTTTCTTCTTTATTATTTTTAGCTTTTTTTCCCTTCATCGTGATCTTTGCTTCGGAGTTCGAGTGTTTGACGTTGAGTAAACAAGGGTGGTGGCCGGCGTTGGGGCTCATCTTTTAGCCTTCTCGACCGCCGAATGGTGAGGAGAAAGGAAGAACGAGAGAATGAGATAGGAAGAATGGGGTATTTTTGGCCGTTCAAAGGAGTTGGTCGGTCCTCCTCCGTTCATGGTCGAGGTCACTGGTGGTTTAGGGTGGTCACCGGCCCGGTGGTCGGGTTGTGAGGGTCGGCGTACGGTGGCCGAGTGCATTTGAAGTTTTGAATAGTTTCTCGGCTGGTTCACGTAAACATGGGGGAGTATTTTGTTTATATGAAAAATGGGTTAATCATGTATCAGGTCCCTGGTTTCTAGGGGTTTTTTGTTTTATTCATCATTTGTTTAAGCTTTGGTCACTATCATGGTAAAATCACCTTTAGATCTATGTATATTTCCCTTGTTTTAGTATTTTGGTCACCCAATACCTCATTTTGTTATTTTTTATGAATTTGACATTATGGTTCATTTTTGTTATAGTTTAGTCATTAATTGCTTGGTTATTTCCTTAAACTTGGCTACTGTTTTATTTATTTCATTTTAGCCCTGTATATTTATGGTTTTATTACGATTATGGTGCTCTTGTTACATAATTTTTTTTGTTTCATGCCTAGATGTTTGTTTATTTATATTTATGATCTCAAATTTACTTTACACTTATTTTTGTCACTATGTTACGAATGAATGCATATGAATATTGTCTTATGTTGTACCATTAAGTATGTTTTATATATTACGTATTTATTTTATGTATATTATTATGTATTTATTTTACGTATATTATTATATATATTACTTTATTATATATATTTATATAATACTACATGTATTGTATTGTGTATATGAATGTTATATTTTACATCTTAGTACATTTATAATAAATATTATGTTCTATGTTTAATATAATATTTAGAAAATATGTATCTATAACCTTAAAATTGTTTTCTTATCCATATGTGTATTTATTTATTTTTCTCCAAGTGTTTAAATGTATCATATTTTATTTTGTTTAAAAGTCTCATTAACATAACTTAACTGATTACATAATGAGATTAAGGGAAATATTTATGTATTTTAAAATATTAAGAAGGGACAGTCTTAAGACAACTAGATGTCATTTTCTAATATTTTAAAATAAATAAATATCCCACTAGAAAAACCTAAAAAAATTGATTGCATTTAAAATTAATTACTTTTGAAGGGAAAATGAAATATTCACTTTTTTAAACTTATCGAGACGATTCGTCTAATTTTATTAGGGATTTAGTCTCGGTATTTTTAAATAATTGAATATCCCTTATCTCTTCTAATAATAATAATTCGGATTAATGGGTTTAATTTCTTTCTTTTGTAGAATAAAAAGTATTTTAATATTGGATTCTTAGGAAAAATTATTATATTCCTTTTTTTCAATGGGAAAGAGAAATTTCGTCCTAAAATATTTAGGGAGTATTTTCTCTTCAATTGGAAATATATGAATATTTTCTATTTTTCCTTAGAATTTTTGTTTTATAATATTGTATGGTTGAATTCGGAATAACGAAATCGTAATTTAAATATGTATTCAAATTCTTAGATTTCTACTATTTAGAGACAATATATAACTTATAGGTACCAATTTTGGGCGTTGTGGGGGTGCTTATCATTCCTCACACATAATCGACCCCCGAACCCTTTTTATTACTAAAAAATAAATTTCTGGTTAGACGTGGATCAGTGAATCTTTTAAAATGATGTTTTCCTTAAAAATACTTTTAAAATAAAATTTTTGGGTATTCGACCTACCTAATCCAAAAGGTCAATGGCGACTCCAA